GTCGGCGGCGGCGGCGCGTGTGGTGTACCCGCCTCTCTTATCTGCAGCGTGCGCGTCCTTCGTTCGCAGGGAAGAAGAGGGAGGGTGACGTGGTGGACCTGGTTTGCCACGTGGACCACACATCTAACATTTTTTTTTTGAGTTGAACCACACATCTTACCGAGTTCAGCCTTTGTTCGTTGGATCTGGTCATCGGTGTGTGTCTAAAAAAAAAAAACCGGCCATCGGTGTTGATTTGTTAGACCGACTCGTTTTGATTCGAGAAGAAGCTTTTCGTTTCAATAAGCTGTAATTTGGTTTTCAATGCTGAAATCAAATAGTGATGTAAACGCTCAAATGCATTCTAGTAGGGGAGGCACTTTTGTTTTAAAAATGAAACGTGCTCCTACTACTCCCGCCGTCAATTAAAAACGTGCTCCTAGCGGAGTAATAATTAACTGCACTTATTTTTAGAATAGTTGTGCTAAATCAATGACACTTATTTTAAGACGGAGGGACTACAATTTATCAATGTGCTTTTCTGAAGTGATGCGGGGCAGGCGAAAAAAACCTTTCGGATCGGCAATTTGGCCGTCGCCACTTATCGCATCCTGCAATTATGCTCCCACTACGGCTGCAATTCCATCCATCCCGCTTTTATTCTCAATGCTCTCTCTATTGCCATTGTGTCCTCTGCCGTCGGGCCAGAGGCCAAAAACTGTTGTCGTGGGCGCATCTGTGCTGTCCACGGCACCAATTGTGGATGCGACCACCGCGTCATGCGTGTGCGAAGCTCCACACTGCCGAGTTCGTCGCGGGCTGCCGCACCCAGGCCGCTGCCACCTAAGACAAGAACACCTCCTCCTGTGCATGCCCTATACTTCATATCATCATTTCTAACATCAAAACCTTTTCTTCTCTCATAGTTTAGATAGAAACTATATGCTTCATTCTCACTCCTAAAAGTCTTCTTTAGATGTCTACGTATTCCTTACACACATTCATATCTATATCTTTATCTTTACCATCCATGCCTTTATCATCCATTTCTTTTGTCATCCATGCCTACATAATCCATGTCTTTACCATCCATGTATATGTCATCCTTGTCTTTGTCATCCTTATCCTTAACTTTGTCATCATTGCATTTATCATCGTTGCCTTTTTCATCCATTCCATTATGCTGCCAACGAAAACACATAAACCATGTTACGGATGCATATCATACGAACTAATTATGCACTACTCTACTTAAATAATTTAAATTATCTTTCAATTCGGTACCTAACTTAGTTCTTCAAAAGTTGTAAGTAAATATATCATCATATATCAAATATCTCCTAACTAAATTCAAAATAACATCAATGTATATCCAAAATAACTCCACAATCAGGGATAATCCAATCATCCCCTAGCCTTCCAAAAGATATAACTAAAGTATATCCTCACAGATCAAATATCTCCTAACTAAATCCAAAATAACTCCAAACTAAATCTAAAACATGTCCTAACTAAATGCAAAATGTTTCAGCATCCGTCGCGGACCCAGGGGTGGGGGAGGTCCACGGACACTGATGTGGGAGCCTACCATTCAAAGCTAGCAGCATATGTCTAGTTACATTTCGGAAGATATTCACCAAAAGTGAACAAAATTGATGCATATTTAAACAAACAAAGGATATTCATTCATACCTGCATATTATTTTACATAAACGTGGATGCTTTTCATCTAAACCAGAGCAAATTCATTACATTTTGACATATTTCAACTAAACCATACTCTAGATGACCTTCAACGCATGTCCCCATGTCCGGCACACCATGAGCCCCGGAAAATGAAGCTCCACCTCCGTAGCCTCCAAGCGGGTAATCGGCCAACGATGACGAGCCCACCAAGTTGGGCTTCAACGCGAGGGGATGAGTGGTGGCCTTCCTGGGACCTGAGTGCTGGCGACCTCCCATGTTCTACTCTTCCTCGCTGACGACAATGCCCGCGGACTTGTCGGCTTTGTGGTCATGACAGCGAGGTGAGGTATTGCAGAGGTGGCGACGTCATCCTCGTCCTCTCTCTTGCCGTGCACTTCATCCTCCACCTCGTCGATCTCCTTGAAGGCGGCTTCAAAATCTACATGATGGAGGCAGTACCGCTAGTCGTTGCAGAGGGTGTCACGGGCGGAGTGGTAGGAGTCAACAGTGCCTTGTGCTCTTGGCCGGTGCGCCGCTTCAATGCCTGAGCGACGTGAGAGGTCGCATCTGCTCTATGCGGGCATGCATGCGGTACTGACGCTCTGGAGCGGCGTTGACCGCTTCGGGCGGGAAAGCGTGTGGGCGAGGGAAAGTGTTTTCGGTGGTCCAGGTTTGTCGAAAGCAGGCGTGGCAGCTGTTCGGACAATTATGCAGCCCTAATTCTAACACCATGGATAATATGCACAAAGGAGAATTCAAGAGGAGAGATAGCTAGTCGCCTACATGTCAGAGATCGATGCGATAGGGTTCGGTGGTGCTAGGGTTGATGAACGGCGATGTGGATGATGTCACCCTCAGGGTGACCTGGATCCTGCGTAACAAGTCGCTTGCCGCCACAGGACGTGAAGAGGAGGATTAGGCAGCGGTGAAGAAGATGTGGCGCCGCAGAACCCGAGGGGGATCAAGTGCGAGGGAGGGGGATTATAGGGTGTAGGAGGGTGGTGGGAGGAGGGAGTGCGACGTTGAGTGAGGACGACACGGTGTTCGCTAGAGATTAGGGCTCATCTGCAGACAAGCACCATGTAATTGTAATTAAATTAATTATGCTTAATAAAAAATGTAGGAAGATAATACCCTTGGGCCGAATTTGTTACATGACAATTATGCCCTTGGGCTTTAATATGGCCCAGATTGTTTCAGCCGTTGGATCACCCATATAGTATAATATATATATGTATTATAATGCATCGTAAAATTTCCTTATGTATACCATCTGCATGTCTGGTCAATTTCACCAATGCCTGTCCTCGCGTATTGTACTATATATCTTGCCTTTGGGCTAATGAACACTATCTCCAAATTATTTTATCAATTATGACTTATAAGTAAAGTTTTAGAAAGCAGGCTAGAGCGCAACATGACTAAGCACAAGATGTCGGAAATAATCTTATACGACCCCGGTCGTACACATCCAAACCGGAGACCCTACTCCACGAGTTTTGCTAGAGCTCAAACAATTTGTTACGGAATGAGCTTACAGAATGACATGGAGTAAATCGAGGGGGTACGTTGAATTCAGGGGGGGTGGGGGGGTGCAGTTTTGTTGGAATTAAGGGAAGAGAATGCATAGAGGATGACACAGATGTAGGATTTACTCAGCCAAATCAGAGGTACAAGGATGTTTAGGGTTCTTCAGCAAGAAGGGGATCGGGAGATGAGAGCCAGGAGGTGGGAGGAGGGGTACATCGCCCAGCGGCGCCCGATCAGTCTTGTGATCTAAACGATACCCTAGCTAGTTGCTCGCACTCACCTTAAGTAGCCTCACTTGCTCGACGCTGGCCCAGTCACTTGTCGGTTGGGCTTGACAGTCCTCTTGGGCCGGTCTAGCGGTGCTGGGCCTTGGCCTTCAGTAGTTCCCGTGACATTCCTCCCCCTTGCATTTTGGCTTGTCCCCAAGCCAAGGCTCGAGGAAACCTGGCGCGGAGAGGCACTTCATCTTCCCAGTTGGCCAGCGACAGCGAAAAACCGGACCAATCAACCAGCACTTGCGGAACATGCCGAACTCCACGCTGCACGTCACGACGCTGAAGAATGGTTGCCGGTACTTGGAAGGGTAGGAGATCCTCGTCGAGGACCGGCAGCTCTGGCATGATTTTTGTGTCCGAGGGCACGCCCGCCTGAAGCTGAGACACATGGATGACAGGGTGGATCTTGGCATGCTCGGGTAGTGCTACGTCTCGAGCTTGCGTTGGATTTCCCCGAAGAGGAGAGGATGATGCAGCACAGTAGCGTAAGTATTTCTCTCAGTTTTTGAGAACCAAGGTATCAATCCAGTAGGAGACCACGCGCAAGTCCCTCGTACCTGCACAAAACGATAGCTACTCGCAACCAACGCTTAGGGGTTGTCAATCCCTTCACGGTCACTTACGAGGGTGAGATCTGATAGAGATAATATTTTTGGTATTTTTGGTATAAAGATGCAAAGTAAAAAGTAAAAGCAAAGCAAGTAAATAAAGTGATGGAGATTTATATGATGAGAATAGACCCGGGGGCCATAGGTTTCACTAGTGGCTTCTCTCAAGAGCATAAGTATTCTACGGTGGGTGAACAAATTACTGTTGAGCAATTGACAGAATTGAGCATAGTTAT